CACTTAAATATTTTTTTTTTAGTTGTTTAGTATTTGTTGTTACAGCGGCACCAGAAATACATCGTCTGTGAAAATTTCAATTGACTGACTATCTCGGTTCATGGAATACGGCTTGGTGACAAACGGACAGACAAACAGACAGCGGAGTCTTAGTAATACGGTCCCGTTTTACCCTTTGGGTACGGAATCCTAAAAAATGAAACCATTACTGTAATTCGCGGATTTCAACGTGGTTTGTCACGTTTGTATGGGAAGATATGATGTACAGAGCTTTTTTTCATGTACGGAGCGCGGGCGCATAACTTCGAGCATTACAAACACTTCAATTATAAATGTACTCGCGCAACTCAGAAGCCACAATAAACGCCGTTTATTATTAAATAGAGGAACAGCGTTTGGTCGGATAAAATAGCGGTTAATTGGACGCGAAGAATAGAAACGAGCGTGTAAGGTGTCATGAATGGAAACATCAGTCATCACAGCATTGCTTTCATAGCGATAACGGTGAATATTCAAACAATCTGAGCTCTGAACAATACAAAAATTAAAGTAACACGGCTCTCTAACCTTAAAGGTGACGATGAGCCGTCAAATACCGCTCATTTGGGAATGGGAGTTATAGTACAATCAGTTAAGTTACAATTGTATTTACTAATTATTTGCAGGAATAAGGTCAATAAATATAAATAAATATTTTTAGGACACATTTTTACACGTTCTCTAGTCCCAAACTAAGCAAAACTTGTACTATGGGTACAATATAACTGATAAACATACTTAAACAGACTTTTCTTTTGTAAATAAATACATATTATAGATATATAAACACCCAGATAATAGAAAAACACTATGTGTGTGACGAACACAATATTTTTCCAGTAGTGGGATCGAACCCACACCCTTTGGCGCAGAAGGTAGGTACACTACCGACTGCACAATTCGGGTCGTCACAATGTCAAGTTCACTTATTCTGCCTCTTCGTAAAGTAAAATACACACGGAAACTGAATGAAAAATGTTTATTTCTAAAAATCTTATAGTTAGCAGGCGCTTGTATTTAGTTAAAAGTAATATTTTCAGTGCCGGCAATTGGCATTCACATCGGCATAGAAGAAAGTTTTTCAACGTCGCCAAAGAAATGGCGGTTGATGCGTTTCGATTAATCTAGCAGTCCATTTAATGACTTGTATCGTCTGTCGTCAATTAAAATCAATTGGATAGATTTGTAGTTTCAACGAATCAATCACATGCATGACGTAATTAAAAATGACATGTACGGTAGTGATAAATGGAAATTGACTTCCGACTATGTTCCCCAAGACCTTGCAAACGATCTTCTTTTCGTTATTTGCACGACCTAGATAATAATTGGGTATACTTGAGCAACCTTAGTTTAAAACTCAACGCCGGCAGCAATGAAATTATAAGTTCTAAGTCAAGTTAAATGCTCTCTATGCATTGGAGGTCTTTGCCCAGCTTCCCACAACCGGGCAAAGACCTCAAACATACATAAAGTGCAGAGGTTAGTATCGCTAAAAATTGGTAATTAAATCATCCATTCATTTACGCACCAAATAGCAACGTACCAGTCCACTTGAGTAGTCACTCGCGAAACTATAATTTAAGTAAGGTTAGAATTATCGCATTCTACAATTAATGACAATAATTGCGCCCTTACTGTTTTTCAGTCATAAACCCGTGCCTAACGCTTCGATCATATCTTTATAAATAGGCTGCACAAGGAGCTATACTTCTACGTACTAGTGCGTTCGGTATATGTAGCTTAGAACTGCCGAGTCACAGATAAAAAATCCAATAGCCATATTTTGCAGTGGATACAGCTTGCTGACTTCCCCAATCCTTAGCCTCCGACATATCCCAATATAATATGATGTCACTGTAATCTCCAACTCGCATGAAATTTAGTCTATATCAACCGGTTACGCTTTATTGGCAGATACATAGATAATAATTATCTGGAGGGGTGCTCCTATGCTTCTGTGCAAGTCATTTTGCCAGTACATATTTCTATAACAATTTCTATCGATTGTGTCGAACACTCAATAATTTTATGATGTAAATGAAACTAATTTTACGGATTTATCGCGTTTATTTTTAATTTTAGTTCTCGACGTTTCGAACCCTTTACAGCGTTCATGGTCACGTGACAGACTGAGGTGTTAGACGTCTGATTGTCAAAGTTAACCCGGGCTACCGTCAGTTTTTGTATTATTGATTTTGTGTCCGATCTATGCAGAGGGAGCTAATTGTATCTTGTCTTGCAGTAGTGGTTCTTTTGGGCTTAGATTTAATTTTATTGATGATAGGATCCCAAGCTGATGGTAGTACCCAACCCTCTTCTCTGTTGAAATTAGGGTGTTTTTTAATTTCAATAGCCTCGCGAATCATCCTTGGGAGGAATCGGTGTTCTTTTGCAAGGATCTATGGTCTATCAAACCTGATGTAGTGGTTGTATAATGTGTAATCGCGTAAATACAAGAAATTATTAATTTTATGATGATTCAATAGCTCTTTCAAAGAATTCATTAACTTCTGTGCCCCCTGATTTTGAATTGATTCTTTATCGGCACTAACAAAGAATTATATCAGAAAGTGTAATAAATTGTAAAACGGCCCGTCAAATCATCTATGTAAAACCGTCATTTTATGTTTATAATTAGTGACGTGTGGAACATGAAGCCGTCATTCTAGTAGGTTCAGCCAACGTAAGGGCTGGCCCAACAAATTGAAGCTATAAGAGTTACCATTAATCAGTCACACAAATACACGTACCGTGCTGGAAATGACTTATGGAGCTTGTGAAGATGATTCCCATGAGTTACCGAGCTACACCGTTTAGAGTCAGATGCGCTAGCCGGTTGAGAAAGAGCGTAAAATCGGTTATATTGTTTGACTGAAAAAAGTCGGAAGTCATAACGTCAGTGAAATCAACATGACGAATGTGAAATTATCAAGCGGCAAACGAAGAAACCGCCGCCGTTCGCGATTTCGATTTCTCCGTTAACATTTATTAGTGCGCCATTGATTTACGACATTTGGTAATTCTCTACGACCACCGTTTCCCAAACTGCATTCTACGGAACCTTGGCATTTCGCCTAGAAATAATCACCGTCGCGCGATTCTACGAACAATTTCGCAAGTAACAACAGCAATTAACGTTAGAACAGCAACTAAAATTGGATAAATCACAGTGAAAGTAAGATTATTTTTCTTTATAGAGGATACAGTAAGTGTGTCTTTTTTACAGCATACTAAAGTAAAGTAAAGTAACAGCCTATACATGTCCCACTGCTGGGCAAAGGCCTCCTCTATACAGAGTGTAACAGGGCATAGTCCACCACGCGGCCCCACTGCGGATTGGCTGACTTCACATATCTTCGAAAAAAATTTTTTTTTTATTATTTCGAAAATATGCAGGATTCCTCACGATGTTTTCCTTCACCGCGGAGCACATGATAAGTCAGCACTTAAAGTTAAAAACTTCATTGGTGCCGGGACCGGGGATCGAACTCAGGTTGCTCGAGTATATTGAATTAAAGGCGAGCGCCCGGACACTGAGCTATCACGGCATACTACATCTTACAAATAACATTCAGCAATGATAATTTCTAACGATAGACTTCGCCGTTGCTCTTAAAATTGAAGAAGAACAGGCACTTTTAACGTACGCCTGTATTCTGAGATGGTGGTACTTTCCTGGATGAGCCAATTCCAAACCCTTCCGAGGTTTTCGTGTTAATATCCCCAAAAGTTTGGAAACCGCTGCTTTGTACAATGGAGAGAGAGCAAGATCTGTTTATTTAAAAGTAATACGACCAACAATCATTAGAGCGATTAAAAATTGCTTTGGTCTAGACACGAAATAAAACTGGTTCGTGTATATTTGCCGGCAAAAGTTTTACAAATTTGCCGAAAAAACATCAAAGCCACGATTTCTATAACGCTTTACCTTTTCTACATTTCTTCTAATTGTAAAGCTCAGATCGCAATCTCGTTTCGCTACACCGTTCCTCGCCTGCTTGCATAGCTATTAAGAAAGTCAATGAACTCCGCATTTCGGGATCTGCAAATTGCATTAATACCGTAAACTAAATTCAATTCATGACGGCGCCACTTATGAACGGATTCGAGTGAAATTTGGAACGGCTTAATACAGAAACTTAACTAATATTCGCAGCTCAGTTTTGGTTAATTACAACCATATAACGGGCACAAATTAGACGTAGATGAACCGGCCGGGTTTTCCTTTAGATACCACCATATGCATGCGCTCCATACATACAAAAAAGCTTTGAACTGGAACCCACAAGTTATAGTAAAGTTATCATCTTTTTCTAGTCGAAGAAAACAAACTAAACATCTCATATTCGTTTCAAAGACCACTTTGGATATCTTGGTGACCCCTTATGGTATCATCAATCGCTTAGGAGAAATTGGTAAGATTTTTAGTGCATACCTTGTCAATGAAATCATACGATACCTGTTCTTACTCCGTTCGTATATAGATACGCGAGTCCTGCTAAATCAACGTTACGCGCATTAAATAAACACCGGTCTCATCTTTTTGATGAGCCCATGGCGCAGTTGTCAAGGTATTGGCTTCGGCCTGTGTTCGAATCCCACATGGGACGACTGTTTGTGTGACCAAAGCATTAATTGTTTCGTTTTTGTCCACGTGAAATTTAAAGATAGGTATGTAAAACGCGATAATTTCTTGTATTTATGCGATTGCACATTAACAATGAAACTATCTAACGGATTTATCGCGTTTATTTTTAATTTTAATACCCGACCTTCCGAATCCCTTACAGCGATCATGGTCACGGGACAGAGGGACGCGTTGGAGGTCTGAACGCCATAGTTAACCCGGGCTACCGTCCGACTAAAATAGTTGTAAAACGTCATCACAGCACAGGAAAATGTTGTATAATGTGTGTTGTTTAGAAAAAAAAAATTCCCGATCCGGATCCGAAGTGCTAGATCGTGCCGCAAAGGTCCTCATTGGCCCCTATCGGAGGGCGCGGCGCGTGCAACCGATACGGCTCGAGGGCCCTCCAAGGGGCCCGGCCGGCCCTTGAGCACGTGGTGCGGTCTTCGTACCGCGCCACTTTCCTCCCGAGTCTAGAGGTGTCGCGTGTTGGAAATTGGACCCTCGTTTCCCACATCGAGTGCACGCTCGGTTTTATCTCGAAGTCTTTTTGCATTGGCTTTGATTTAACTCCCACGTAGTACCTTAATAGTGTTACGTCTTAGGGGTTCGAAGGATTTGGAGAGAAAGACCTGCTGACTCTTTTGAAGACTTTATTTACTAGCGCTAGGCCAACACAAAGCACTAGGTCCAATCACTAAGCACTAACGATGTCCTAGATTGTAGCCAAGTCGTAGGTTTCACTGGTATCGCTCTTGATCACTAGTTTTCACTCCGAAGTCGCCTCGAAGGTAGCTCAAACTAAACTGTCTTCGCTCGCCTCCCTGCGGCTGTTTATATGGGCCGAGACCGGTTCCGGACTAATCCAGAAAGATCCTTCCTGGAACGTACCCGATACGCACGAACATGTTCGTGATTCCGGAAAGTTCGCGAATGTACCCGGTTTTCGAGACTATAGTTCCACAGCAGTTCCTCTAACGCCATCTAGTGTTGAATAGGGGGTTTTATGTCGTCATTGTTCTTTAGTGGTTTTAATAGTTGACGCTAGTTCATTTGTGTGTTCATAACAATAGTTTCATTAATATAGCAACCTGGACATAAGAAGCTTGTCAAGTCATGTGTCATGTTTTCTGTTATTTTACATGTCGCAGGCGCGTGTCCAGACACGATAGTAGTTTAGTGTTAGTAGCGCAAGCTAATGCTGGCATTAGCAAATGGCCGACAGCGTAGCTACTCTACTAAACCGGCCAAGGGCGCGTCGGACTCGCGCACGAATGGTTCCGTACCATTATCTATAAAAACGGCAAATAAAATCATGTCTGTTGTATGGAAGGCCCCACTAGTTATAGCGGCGACAGAAATACATCATCTGTGAAAAGTTCAAATGTCATACTATCACGGTTCACGAGATACCTACAGCCTAGTGACAGGCGGACAGACAGACAGGCAGACAGCGTAGTCTTAGTAATAAAGTCTCGTTACCTCTTGGACACGGAACCTTAAAAATTCATATAAAGAAGGTCGATCGGTACGAGTGTGACCGCCTTGTTTGATTGGTCCTATTCTTATAATCAAACATTATTGTGTCGATTCGGTACGACGCGTTCTACTTCGCGTGTATCGATTTCAAGTGTGTAATTATCAAGGAATAATAGACTACAATAACCCCCTGGTCTGGATGGTGACCGTCGATATAACGGATCGTTCGGCGCTCCTGCTGAAATGGTCTCGATGCCCTGGCCGCGGTCGCTCCAATTTATTTATTGGATTGTTGGGTTAAAAGTAATGTTATAGAATACACGAGTTAACATCACAGCTCAAGCTAATTAATATAGTTAAGAAGAAAATCTCGGCATGTTAAAAAGTAAAAGATAAAAGAGAAAGTTAAGAGTAAGTTAGAAAAATATTGCGTGCAAAACATTGTTAAGTTCACTTATTATAAAATATAAACATAATAAAATTGCAAAGTATCTTAAACATTAAGGACCACGTGCTCCACGTGCTCAAGGGCCCGGCCGGCCCTTGAGCACGTGGTGCGGTCTTCGTACCGCGCCACTTTCCTCCCGAGTCTAGAGGTGTCGCGTGTTGGAAATTGGACCCTCGTTTCCCACATCGCGTGCACGCTCGGTTTTATCTCGAAGTCTTTTTGCATTGGCTTTGATTTAACTCCCACGTAGTACCTTAATAGTGTTACGTGTTAGGGGTTCGAAGGATTTGGAGAGAAAGACCTGCTGACTCTTTTGAAGACTTTATTTACTAGCGCTAGGTCCAACACAAAGCACTAGGTCCAATCACTAAGCACTAACGATGTCCTAGATTGTAGCCAAGTCGTAGGTTTCACTGGTATCGCTCTTGATCACTAGTTTTCACTCCGAAGTCGCCTCGAAGGTAGCTCAAACTAAACTGTCTTCGCTCGCCTCCCTGCGGCTTTTTATATGGGCCGAGACCGGTTCCGGACTAATCCAGAAAGATCCTTCCTGGAACGTACCCGACACGCACGAACATGTTCGTGATTCCGGAAAGTTCGCGAATGTACCCGGTTTTCGAGACTATAGTTCCACAGCAGTTCCTCTAACGCCATCTAGTGTTGAATAGGGGGTTTTATTTCGTCTTTGTTCTTTAGTGGTTTTAATAGTTGACGCTAGTTCATTTGTGTGTTCATAACAATAGTTTCATTAATATAGCAACCTGGACATAAGAAGCTTGTCATGTGTCATGTTTTCTGTTATTTTACATGTCGCAGGCGCGTGTCCAGACACGATAGTAGTTTAGTGTTAGTAGCGCAGCTAATGCTGGCATTAGCAAATGGCCGACAGCGTAGCTACTCTACTAAACCGGCCAAGGGCGCGTCGGACTCGCGCACGAATGGTTCCGTACCATTATCTATAAAAACGGCAAATAAAATCATGTCTGTTGTATGGAAGGCCCCACTAGTTATAGCGGCGACAGAAATACATCATCTGTGAAAAGTTCAAATGTCATACTATCACGGTTCACGAGATACCTACAGCCTAGTGACAGGCGGACAGACAGACAGGCAGACAGCGTAGTCTTAGTAATAATAAAGTCTCGTTACCTCTTGGACACGGAACCTTAAAAATTCATATAAAGAAGGTCGATCGGTACGAGTGTGACCGCCTTGTTTGATTGGTCCTATTCTTATAATCAAAATTATTGTGTCGATTCGGTACGACGCGTTCTACTTCGCGTGTATCGATTTCAAGTGTGTAATTATCAAGGAATAATAGACTACAATAACCCCCTGGTCTGGATGGTGACCGTCGATATAACGGATCGTTCGGCGCTCCTGCTGAAATGGTCTCGATGCCCTGGCCGCGGTCGCTCCAATTTATTTATTGGATTGTTGGGTTAAAAGTAATGTTATAGAATACACGAGTTAACATCACAGCTCAAGCTAATTAATATAGTTAAGAAGAAAATCTCGGCATGTTAAAAAGTAAAAGATAAAAGAGAAAGTTAAGAGTAAGTTAGAAAAATATTGCGTGCAAAACATTGTTAAGTTCACTTATTATAAAATATAAACATAATAAAATTGCAAAGTATCTTAAACATTGGGCCCGGCCGGCCCTTGAGCACGTGGTGCGGTCTTCGTACCGCGCCACTTTCCTCCCGAGTCTAGAGGTGTCGCGTGTTGGAAATTGGACCCTCGTTTCCCACATCGCGTGCACGCTCGGTTTATCTCGAAGTCTTTTTGCATTGGCTTTGATTTAACTCCCACGTAGTACCTTAATAGTGTTACGTGTTAGGGGTTCGAAGGATTTGGAGAGAAAGACCTGCTGACTCTTTTGAAGACTTTATTTACTAGCGCTAGGTCCAACACAAAGCACTAGGTCCAATCACTAAGCACTAACGATGTCCTAGATTGTAGCCAAGTCGTAGGTTTCACTGGTATCGCTCTTGATCACTAGTTTTCACTCCGAAGTCGCCTCGAAGGTAGCTCAAACTAAACTGTCTTCGCTCGCCTCCCTGCGGCTTTTTATATGGGCCGAGACCGGTTCCGGACTAATCCAGAAAGATCCTTCCTGGAACGTACCCGACACGCACGAACATGTTCGTGATTCCGGAAAGTTCGCGAATGTACCCGGTTTTCGAGACTATAGTTCCACAGCAGTTCCTCTAACGCCATCTAGTGTTGAATAGGGGGTTTTATTTCGTCTTTGTTCTTTAGTGGTTTTAATAGTTGACGCTAGTTCATTTGTGTGTTCATAACAATAGTTTCATTAATATAGCAACCTGGACATAAGAAGCTTGTCATGTGTCATGTTTTCTGTTATTTTACATGTCGCAGGCGCGTGTCCAGACACGATAGTAGTTTAGTGTTAGTAGCGCAGCTAATGCTGGCATTAGCAAATGGCCGACAGCGTAGCTACTCTACTAAACCGGCCAAGGGCGCGTCGGACTCGCGCACGAATGGTTCCGTACCATTATCTATAAAAACGGCAAATAAAATCATGTCTGTTGTATGGAAGGCCCCACTAGTTATAGCGGCGACAGAAATACATCATCTGTGAAAAGTTCAAATGTCATACTATCACGGTTCACGAGATACCTACAGCCTAGTGACAGGCGGACAGACAGACAGGCAGACAGCGTAGTCTTAGTAATAAAGTCTCGTTACCTCTTGGACACGGAACCTTAAAAATTCATATAAAGAAGGTCGATCGGTACGAGTGTGACCGCCTTGTTTGATTGGTCCTATTCTTATAATCAAACATTATTGTGTCGATTCGGTACGACGCGTTCTACTTCGCGTGTATCGATTTCAAGTGTGTAATTATCAAGGAATAATAGACTACAATAACCCCCTGGTCTGGATGGTGACCGTCGATATAACGGATCGTTCGGCGCTCCTGCTGAAATGGTCTCGATGCCCTGGCCGCGGTCGCTCCAATTTATTTATTGGATTGTTGGGTTAAAAGTAATGTTATAGAATACACGAGTTAACATCACAGCTCAAGCTAATTAATATAGTTAAGAAGAAAATCTCGGCATGTTAAAAAGTAAAAGATAAAAGAGAAAGTTAAGAGTAAGTTAGAAAAATATTGCGTGCAAAACATTGTTAAGTTCACTTATTATAAAATATAAACATAATAAAATTGCAAAGTATCTTAAACATTAAGGACCACGTGCTCCACGTGCTCAAGGGCCCGGCCGGCCCTTGAGCACGTGGTGCGGTCTTCGTACCGCGCCACTTTCCTCCCGAGTCTAGAGGTGTCGCGTGTTGGAAATTGGACCCTCGTTTCCCACATCGCGTGCACGCTCGGTTTTATCTCGAAGTCTTTTTGCATTGGCTTTGATTTAACTCCCACGTAGTACCTTAATAGTGTTACGTGTTAGGGGTTCGAAGGATTTGGAGAGAAAGACCTGCTGACTCTTTTGAAGACTTTATTTACTAGCGCTAGGTCCAACACAAAGCACTAGGTCCAATCACTAAGCACTAACGATGTCCTAGATTGTAGCCAAGTCGTAGGTTTCACTGGTATCGCTCTTGATCACTAGTTTTCACTCCGAAGTCGCCTCGAAGGTAGCTCAAACTAAACTGTCTTCGCTCGCCTCCCTGCGGCTTTTTATATGGGCCGAGACCGGTTCCGGACTAATCCAGAAAGATCCTTCCTGGAACGTACCCGACACGCACGAACATGTTCGTGATTCCGGAAAGTTCGCGAATGTACCCGGTTTTCGAGACTATAGTTCCACAGCAGTTCCTCTAACGCCATCTAGTGTTGAATAGGGGGTTTTATTTCGTCTTTGTTCTTTAGTGGTTTTAATAGTTGACGCTAGTTCATTTGTGTGTTCATAACAATAGTTTCATTAATATAGCAACCTGGACATAAGAAGCTTGTCATGTGTCATGTTTTCTGTTATTTTACATGTCGCAGGCGCGTGTCCAGACACGATAGTAGTTTAGTGTTAGTAGCGCAGCTAATGCTGGCATTAGCAAATGGCCGACAGCGTAGCTACTCTACTAAACCGGCCAAGGGCGCGTCGGACTCGCGCACGAATGGTTCCGTACCATTATCTATAAAAACGGCAAATAAAATCATGTCTGTTGTATGGAAGGCCCCACTAGTTATAGCGGCGACAGAAATACATCATCTGTGAAAAGTTCAAATGTCATACTATCACGGTTCACGAGATACCTACAGCCTAGTGACAGGCGGACAGACAGACAGGCAGACAGCGTAGTCTTAGTAATAAAGTCTCGTTACCTCTTGGACACGGAACCTTAAAAATTCATATAAAGAAGGTCGATCGGTACGAGTGTGACCGCCTTGTTTGATTGGTCCTATTCTTATAATCAAACATTATTGTGTCGATTCGGTACGACGCGTTCTACTTCGCGTGTATCGATTTCAAGTGTGTAATTATCAAGGAATAATAGACTACAATAACCCCCTGGTCTGGATGGTGACCGTCGATATAACGGATCGTTCGGCGCTCCTGCTGAAATGGTCTCGATGCCCTGGCCGCGGTCGCTCCAATTTATTTATTGGATTGTTGGGTTAAAAGTAATGTTATAGAATACACGAGTTAACATCACAGCTCAAGCTAATTAATATAGTTAAGAAGAAAATCTCGGCATGTTAAAAAGTAAAAGATAAAAGAGAAAGTTAAGAGTAAGTTAGAAAAATATTGCGTGCAAAACATTGTTAAGTTCACTTATTATAAAATATAAACATAATAAAATTGCAAAGTATCTTAAACATTATACTTAAAGTTAGAAAACTTTAAAATAAAATAAGTTTACGTGGACAACAACAAACTATTAGACTTTTGACATTAGTGTTACTGTTTTATAGTATTTGTATAACCCATAGATTAACTCCTGATCTGAGTGTTTGGCAGTGTCTAATTTTTTTTTATTTTTTTATTTTACTTAAAAACCTTTCCCATACTGTAGGATAACATTATCCTGTGCTGTAAGGACGTTTTAAAAACATAAATTGCACGTGCACAAAAATCTAGTAATAAAACCCAAAAAAAAGTACTATGTTCTAAAAAATAAACGTATCTTTCTTTCTTTCTTTCCAGATGCGAAACAATTATCTGTGGGTCGCACAAACAGTTGTCCCGTGTGGGAATCGCACCCAAGCCCCCGACGCCGAAGCCAGTACCTTGGCAACTATGCCACGGAGTCCTAATTGCTGAGGATATCGTCGTTAAGGGGAGTGACGTGGTCTCACGACTTTAGCTCCCACGGGGTGGACAGTGCAGCTTTAATCGCAAAAAGAGCTGGAAGTCAATCTTGTCGCTTGCCTTGACCACCGAAGCGTCCAGCTACAAGTTAATACAGCAAATTCACCCTTATCTCCACAGCGTTAATGCACACTTTGTTCTGAAATAAAAAAAGACGAGCGAATTAGCGCGCATTCTACGAAAACCGCTCGTCTGCGAGCCACCATCGCTGATTGGTGCGCGCGCGAAATAAATACGACTTAGTGATTCTTATTTTACTTATAAACTGGTCTGTGAATGAACTACTGAGTCAATGGTAAGTAGCGATGTTGTCGGACGGAAAACGCACTATCTCTGCGAGATTCTAATCGATTTACAAGACTAGTGGTAGAGCCACGCAGCAGCCTCGGTTGTTGCATGAATGGGCAGGCTCGTCCGGGTAAGTACCACGACCTCACAGAACACCGGCGTAACCACTTTTGTAACCACCGGCGTAAATACCAAGTATGACAAATACTTTCGCGTTTCGTCTGGTGAGTGAGGTAGCCGGAGCCCAATTTCCAAAAAGGTTGTCAACGCATCTTCAAACCCTCGGGTGTAGCAGATGTCTATGGTTCACATAAAAAAAAGTGTCGTTAAGGCAAGAGGCTTCGAATTTACTCACATCATGCTCAGATGGCAAAGCTGATTGTGGAAAATTGTTCTATTGGTTTTTAGAACAATTTACAAAAGAGGAGGGGAATCCGTTCTTTCAAAGGCATAATTTTTTTGCCATTTATAGATAATGGTACGGAACTCTTCGTCCGCGAGTCCGACTCTCACTTGTCCGGGTTTTTAAACGATATTGTCAGACTATCTCTCTATCTCGCATTAATGAAAAGTAACTGACCATAACAACGAGTGCTCTGTCATTATTTAACGCCGCGAGTAGTGCGCCTTGTTTAATCTGTGGTGGGTCGACAATGCACGGAAATCCGGCGGCGACACAAGGCAACACCGCACGGGGCAATATTTTCTCGTATATGGAAACACCGGTTGAAAAGCACAGCGGTACGTGTGACAAATATTTATATCCAAATATAATAGTTTGACCACCAGGGCGGCACCCTCCGCCTCTAATATGGATGAGACAGTCGGATTTTATAGTTAAGGTTCTAATTTCAGATTTTGCGGAACAGTGAGTGTGTTCATAACCAAAACACTGGTACAGTCATGCGCGTGCATTAATATACAGACAATAGACATATCTCATAACAATCCCTTAATTCGAATGTGTAGACAGTATAATATTTTATGCAGAGAAATAGATATATTTCACCAAAACTTGTCATTATTTTTAAAAACTATTAAGTCCTCTAAAAACATTGGCCTGCTTCTTTGTTATAAGTAAATTAGTAACTATAACTATAATTTATTACATTAATAAAATTGAATGTTGTGCTCGGTTGTTATTGAAATGCAAGTTTAGTAATATGTATTAGTCTGTAATAATTTAGTCGTGTTAATTTGTATTTTGTAACCGTGTCTTTGAAGCATCTTGTTGATGCTTAATCGGAGGAAAAAGTAAATAACTGTATATATCTTATACTTACAGATACGTTAGACTCAAAGAATGCGTCATAGCATGTCCTTTCACTTGTCCGCTTGACTCACAGGCTATTTTTCCTCGGAGTCACTCCGATTAGCAATACTTCGGTTAGGACGTATCAGTTAATGTCGCGAGAAATCCCACGCCGTGTCATTACACGCTTGGTACAGTGGTTCTCAAAGCGGTCTGTGATTGTGTGGAAGTTTTAATACTTTTCACGTTTCGTCCTCTGAGCGAGTTAACCGGGGCCCACTCTTTGGAACGGTTGCCAACGCATCTGCAACCACTCAGATATTGTCCAGATGTCCATAATCACTTAACATAATATGAACCGCCTGGTCGCTAGCAACTTTTCACGTAAAAAAATATATTAAAATGAAAAAAAAAAACCACACTAATGAGAAAACAGTTTGAGAAGCTCCGACTCGCCGCCGTAAAGGGCCAATTGAAGTGAAAATTGGATTGCACAAGTTTGAGAATCTCTGCGTCTGCACAACGAACGATTTGCTCGGATCTGTGAGTGCTCTTACACGACTCGGGTATGACGCGGCGCCGTAACACCGGAACAGCTGATTAGCGTGGACTGAGTAGCTGTAGTGCTATTAAAGATCCATTAGACGGTCCCGGCGAAAGTGAACTTAAGTCGACGGCCTGTCATCTCGCGGTTGCCATAGCAACGCGCCGTCCATTAATCATTTTTTTTTATTTACCTATACCTACAAAAACAATTTTAGATATAATCGAGTTCCTAATTATTAAAATAAACGTATAACCAACACCAATGTCCCCAAAATAATATTAAGTGAAATAAAAAGAGAAATAAAAGTCGGTTCCTAGCCATATTACTTTTTAAGTATTAGTGAATCATTGGCGTTTTATTTAATGCCACGCTGTCCTCGTCGGCAATTAGAAGAGAGAGTTGTTTATTCCGCGGGGATGAGCTATCAACAATCTTTAGTTAAACGTACACGAATTTACCTCGAATATTATTGGCATTGTTATCGGAGGGTAGTACGGGCACCATCGTTCCGTTTACATGCATGCGTTGTAATAAAACTGGTTTAGGAATTTAATATGGTTAATTTTCGAAATTGAATTGCCAGTTTAGAATACTTTCACGGACGCGTCACGAGATGGGTTGTGTATTTAAACCGTGCTAAAAATGCTACTGTCTTGGAATCTAAAAATTTAGGAAACCATTATATTCATAAAGACCCGTGTTTTTAAGTTTTAGCGTGGCTTAGATGGAGCATTTGTCGTGGACTGATTAACCCAACAACTAGTATTTATAGACCAGTCCATTTCTGATACCTCTATATTCAATTTGTGTATCATGTAAACTTTTCGATTTACTTCAAAATGTCTCCCTTTAAGCTATTTTCTGAAAACGCTTCAATTTTCGAAGCGTAAACATCGTAATCCCGGTGAAGTTTAGTTATTAGTGCTCATCTCATCAGCTCGTCGTCTCTTTTTCATTCACTTTCTCCCTCTCTCTCGTCCGATTACACATCCGCCTCGGAATTCCGAACGGGACGCCATACCGACACCGCAGACGTCGCCACATTGCGAGGGACGCGATAGACATTGGCACGGCCTTCATTGGCGACCGATCGACGGGCCGGAAGATCTCTCTGGCAGATAGCTTGGCATCGCTACGCTCCGGTATTCCAGAACGAGTGCGGAGACCGAACGCCGCATTAGAATACAATTGGGGACGGAAGCCGGCGAGCGTAGCGTCAGCGAATTTCGAACGGTCGGGAAATGAACAGGAAGATAAGATATTTCGCCGCCTTTAACGAAGTGGGCAATGGTGGGCTTAATGGTGCTGGGGATTTTTACCTAGTTAAGTATATTAAGTTCCAAGCCGTGTACTCATGCCCGGTAGCGGGCGACATAATAATAATAATATTTAGGACACATTCTCTAGTCCCAAACCAAGCAACATTTGTACTACTGATAAACTTACTTATCTTTTGTAAAGTAATGGAAATCGATCCACACCCTCTGGCGCAAGAGGCAAGTTCACTACCAACTATGCCAATCGGGTCGTCATAGTCCAATACCAGCCACGAGGACTTAATAACTCCAATAAAACATGTTTACGTTTACTGTCCGAGTCCCGTTAAGGTCAAAGAACATGACAGCTAAAACAAATGACGGCGTGCAGAAGTTACAGGCTTTCTAATGCGTTAGCTTAATTTCGGTAAGGTAGAAAAGGAAGATTAGAATCAAAATTTGGCGCCAAGGCACTGTATAAAAAACGCATCACTCGGCATCTATCAGATTTGTGACGTCACTCATTCTGACGTCACCCAACTGTCCTAACTAGCCTAGAGCGGCCGGGGCGTCTGGCACACGCCCTGGCAGAACGAGAACGCACATTCTATATATAGATGCGGTTTGTTTCCTTGTTCGTCGCGTAAAGAGATGCGTGCTAGAGAGCGTCATGCCTCCCTCCCGTTATAAATTTACAAGCACGATTGCATTATCCTATGTTGCAGATGCGTTCCACAAATAAAACAGCACATAGACAGACTACTGTGAGCGAGAATTTCATCCAATTCTTATTGTTCATACAAAAACTCATACCATACCTGTTGGCGCTGGCAACACTGTATACCGGATATAACGTTATCTACTCGAGCCAAGGGACACATGGTCGCATGGAGCAGCGGTCACTTGGATTTCGGCTGCGGTCCCGGACAGTGTTATAACCAATAGTTCTGCTGGTTGTTATAATAATTGATAATATTCAAGTTCAGTAATAGTTAAAATATTAGGATCAAAGTAAAAACGTTAGAATTCTTATATACGTGAATTGAAACACGAACAGACAAGCAGACGCCTATATCAAAGCAACAGTATCATATTATTTGTAATATTATTGTATAAATAATATTGTATTTCATTTGTAATATTATTGATCTAATTTCATGATTCCGTTATATTCCATTATAAAGATTTTAATACCAACTAGTCAGTACGGTTTCTGATTCTTTGCTCTACTTTCAATTGATTTGGATACCAACGTTGACGAAGTTTTGGAGACCACTCTGGCTACCCTGAAAGGGGGAGGAGCGCCACAGTATCCTAATATCCTTTATCATATTTCACGTATCATCTTACCAACTAGCTCCAACTGGGGTAGTTTTGATTACAGCTTCATCATTTACCTGTAACAAGGATGACACATGAAACACTGTTCAGACATGTTCAAATAATTTTTACATTATACTTTCACACGTAAGTACACAGTTATATGTCAGTATGATACTGACAAATATAATAGTTTTAGTTTAGTTAGTTATAGTATGCAAATAAATATTTACTTTCTTGTATGTGTAATGTTTGAAGATACTTAACTGATTTTGAAAATTTTGTAATTAATGAAAAATTCAAGAATATCTCAGATATAATATAGACATTAGATTAAACTACATTTGCGGATTTATCGGGTTTATTTTTAAATTTATCTCACAACGTTTCGAAGCGTTCAGCGTTTATGGTCATGGGTCAGACTGAGGCATTAAACGTCTGATTGTCACGGTTAGTCCGGGCTACCGTCAGTTTTTAATCATTAATTTTTTCTTCCCCGCAAGTTCAGCTTATCACTTCTAAACCGGTGGCTCGTCTGTCGTTCCGCGCCAGACCTATTTACGGGTCATGTTTACGTTAAAGCGTCAACAGATATATCTACTACACTTGAAGAAATTCGGCTTAATACAGACGCCACGTTACTAATGAGGAAAATGCAAGGACAAGATTTGCATATATCAAACACAGTATGGAAATGAGACGTTACGCTACAATTGGTCGATACACTGCAATAATTTCGCTTATTTAAATTTTTACAAATTGTGTAAAATTACTTAAAACCGTACATATAATATTACATCGATGACATTTTAGCGGCAAGTGAAAGTTAAGTTATTATTTTTTTCCAGTTAATAACTTTACAGTGTTGTGAAATGTGTACGTATTGTAAAATGTAAATTAACTTTTTCTATTGTATCCCATTCCACTTTCGAGATTATTCAATAATATGTAATCAGCGTTCTATGACCGGTAAGCGGAAGTAACTCTTTAATTACGTCTTACATCCCACAGTTGGGCAAAGGTCTAGCTTAATCCGACAACGGATAGGCAAACTAGTTACAGAATTAGTTGTATTAAGAAAACCCCACTTAAAAGTAATTAATTCAAGCCACCGGATAAATTACAGTCTTGAATTGTGCATACGATGTCAACTGACGTCACTACACTCTCCGGTTCAACATCGTAAATTGACAATTAAACAGACAAAAGCAAGCCTTGCTAGTTTCCCACGAGCTCTTCTTAGCACGGGCGTGCATTACTTCTTTGTCTTTCGAAGGTCCTTAAGCGACGTTACTTGGAACAATAGGTTTCTTTCAGACCTAAATGTTGCAGACATATAATAAGACTAGCTGCTGCCCGCGACTACGTCTGCGTAGGCTGAAAGCGTAACAGTCAGACGGAAAGGAAGACAGATATACATAAAAATATGTATATTAATTATAGCCTATGTCTTATTCTGATGTATAAGCTTCAGCAGTATTTGCGTGAAAGAGTAACAAACATCCATCCATACATACAAACTTTCGCCTTTATAATATTAGTAAGGAAGTAAGGATGTGTGTTGTTTCTGACTTAATTGTTAGACTTATAATAAGATGTGTGTTTGTCTTTTTACGTTTACAAGAGTTTTTAATCAGAGCAATATTTTAAATTAGAAAAATAAGACTATTTTTAACCGACTTAAAAAAAGGGGGAGGTTCTCAATTCTATTGTATTTTTTTTTCTTTATCAGTTACCTTATCGTTAATGGCTGCATCACTTACCATTAATTGGAACCGTCGTGAATGGGTCATCTGGTCTTTTCTCATTGAAAAGAAATTCTTCTAAAGAATTTCATTTCAACTTAAATTTTAAACTTAAATACAAATTTAACGCAACTTTCTCACGGACAATGTCCCTTTATATTTTAATTGGCCTTTCATCAACCAAATTTCTTAACATTTTCACGCTTTTATAACAAAATCTATGTATCTAAAGGTTTCCCCATTTTTACAGTGCCGCATAGCTATTATTCACGACAGCTTCTAGACTGTCTTAATGAATTGATTTGTTTCCCAAGAGCCCTCAAATATAAAAGCGCCATCTCTGATAATATACACGTTTCATTCATTAATGATGCAACGTTATCTTCGCTGCAGTTTCAAATTGCCATATAACAGAACAATGCATTTACACAATCCAAACACAATGTTCTTGTTCAAGTTCGCTTATAAATATTGTGTTATTAGGTTTTTTCGTAAAATATTAAAATCATACTTATACCACATTCTTAAGAAAACGAGTTTTGGTGTCCGTGGAAAAGCTGTAGATTTTATAGACGACGGACTTATTAACAGAGCATATGCAGAATTTGATTCTAAATCTGAATCTGGTACGCAATTGTGACCTAATTATTTTTTCAAAGATTATTTTTATTTCTTTCAAACATTATGGACACCGTCTCAATACCATAACCTATTCACGAGCACTAAAACTTTTCGCTGAACGCATAATTACTAAACCGCTTATCAATAGGTGACCACTATTAACGGGATAAACAAACAATATTTGAATTGATATTTTCTGGATATTTCTTGTCAAAATAAAATATTAATATATTTTTTTAAATTATGGAATGCTCAATTAACTCTATGTCAAAGTATGTACTTCCTGTATATTATAGCGACAAAGTTAACCACACACACAGTTCTCACCGTTCCCAGTAAACGATCAATACATCCTCAGCCAGTAGTACGACTAACGTATATACCTTTTTTTACGTGGGAAAAATTCTTTATGGATCTCCCAACGCCTTGCGGGTAGACAGCATCTATATCTGTATATCTGGCTGGGGTGTGTGTTTCGAAAGCGAAAGCAAAGACAAAGGCAAGACGGGGCTAATGAGTGAACGGGCATCGTAAAAAGGTCCATCGGCCATTGGGCCATCGGACCACCTCCAAAACCGGTCGAGCGCCGCTTTCTATCTACGCAACGCCGCGCCGTACGCTATACATCTGGTTCTAGTCGTTACATATTCGTTACGTGACGCTTCTCTTAGATCTGTCGTGTCGAACCGCTAGCTTACGCGGTTAGTGGTAAATTTTAGACGGTTTATATTTGTGACAGGTATAATAATAATAATTAATCATTTATTTAACCAGTAACGATAGGGATAGATATACTATAATAATAATACTTATAATTCGTATTGAGATTTCAAAAATCGTATATTAATCGCGACACTCAACACTAGGCGAAGCCTGTGTCGTGAGCAACGAAACCTATTTGTCGTAATACAGTAATTTTACCTCGCTTAGAGATATTGTTTTCAAGGTATAGAAAACATATAAACGTGTGATAAAGATAAATATTATATAGATAAGATAAATAATTATGAGTCAGTTGTGCTTATATAACAATCTTGCAATAAGTTTTGCTATGTCATCGTGTTTGGAGTAATAGCTTTTATCCGCTGACTTCAAACAAGTAATAGTTAACTTTTAGAGTATAAAATCTAATAAATTAATCAAGTAAAAGCAAAAGTTAATAGTTATACTAGACTTTTAACTTTTAGAATGTGACGACTAGCAATATTCTGAACCACTAAAGGCAAGTGATCCTTAAGTAGGGAGAGGAATATTTTAAGGATTTTTGAATTTTCTTGCTCTTTCGGTACTCACTTAAGTTGTATAATGTTAAAAACTGACTGATTCAAGTGCCAGAGCCATTCACATTTTCAATTCGAGATTTTCATCACTTGTGATTTTCATCGATTGTGATCGATTGACTCAACCAATCAATCACAATCACATCAATCAAATTTCTCATCGTGAGGGAAATTACGTTTCAGTATCATTCGGCTAAATTTTGGTCTTCAATGTTACCGAAATTGCAAACAATTCTGTGTGTGGTCTCGCCTAGCAACAAGGAATTTTTACTCGATATATTTGGGTACAAATTCGGGTTCTACCGGCAAGCAGAAAGGATTCCCATTCTCCAGAACAACTCGGTGCTAAAATTATGTGTGTCTTATATTTTTGCCGCTATCACAACTTACACCGTTAGGGATTAAATATGTGTATTTACGTTTTTCGATACGAGTCTTACGACCGGTCTGCTTTGTGACGCTCATATCCAAAAGTTATAACATTTTAGCGGAATCCATTAAGCATTTCCGTAAATGCACATTCGAAATATGAAACTGCCGCCATTTATGTTTCCGTCTGATAAAGCTTTGTTCAATTTACGGCGTCGCCAATGTATCGGAAGTTGATAATTTACGCGCCTCACGAACTTATGCCAATTTTCCTTGCCTCTAAAATAACGAACTGACGCGATATCATTGAGACTAGCAGTGGTAGGGCCACGTAGCAGTTTTCGCTGTTGCACTAACGGGCAGGTCCGTTCGGGGAAACACCACGAGCACACAAAAGACCGGCGTGACGTGGACGTGTTATACTTCTACGTTTCATCTGGCCAGTGAGGTAACCAGGGAACCATCGTTTCGGCAGCTCAAATGTCATTTGAGAACCCATCTGACAGCTGATTAGTTAACTTCTACGACGATCAGTGTTTCAGAAACCGGGCCCGTGTTCAATCAAATAAAATCAAAGCGGCGCATTTAATCTTTAATCTATAAAGTTTCCGATATTTCGATCGGTTGCCGTGATGCGTGATTAAGCGTAACGCAGCAGCGTCACGGCGTTAGCTACGGCGTGCGCGTCCGAGTGCCCAACTGGCAAATCAGACATGATCTCCGGTCGCGTGGATCCGCTTAGATCCGGCGGCTCCCGACGATAGGTGGACGTCACGAGATGCGGGCACACGCGATGGAGGCTGCGTAATAGTCGAAGATGATAAAGAGTGCTTGCATAACAATTCGCCACGGACTGATTTCCCTCTCGAATCGCTTAGGACGGCTTACGATGTTGATACAGAGTCAAAATGCGTTTATTAAAAAAATTCAAATGCCACATAAGCGTATGCGTTAAACAGGTTAAACAATTACCCGGCTGTGTATTTTGTTCAATAAAATAAAGTAGACAATAATGGCTGCGGGTAACATATGGCTAGGGATGCGACATAACAAAGTGAAAATATATTTCCGTCAATTTCATGCCTCTTCACAAGCAGTAATAAATCAATAATATAATTATAATATGAGAAGAAAAGGAGAGCCGTGATATCTCAGTGTCCGGGCGCTCGCATTTAATTCAATATACTCGTGCAGCCTGAATTCGATTCGATCCCCGGTGCCGGCACCAATGAAATTTTTAATTAAAGTGCTGACTTATCACGTGATCAGCAGGAGGAATAACTTCGTGAGGAAACCTGCATATTTTCGAAATAAGAACAAAAAAAAATATTTCGATGATATGTAATCCGCCAATCCGCAGTGGGGCCGCGTGGTGGACTATGCCCTGATACCCTCTGTACAAAGGAGGCCTTTGCCCAGCAGTGGGACATGTACAGGTTGTTACTTTACTTTCTTTTTTAAGAAAAGAAATAGACAACAAACTCGATTTGAAGTTGACATCAGTCATTAGAAGAGTAAAAAACCTAAATATAGATTTTTCAACGACATTAATTGGAGCTTTCATAAATTTAGTCTCTTTCAATACAGTAGGGGGACCGTTGATTGCATTGTAGACTAAAGGCCCATTTACACGATGCCATTTTCTTGAACATACAAGAGCAATAATTGAATGCAATAAATTGCGCGCAATAATTGTTTAGACCATTTCTTGTTTAGACCATGCAACTCATTTATTGCTTCAATTTAATTGTATACAACAGGCAAGAAACTGGCACCGTGTAAATGGGCCTTAACATTTTATTCGCAGGCACAAGTCGCGGAACACTGTAATTTCCCAAACCCGTGGGTTCTGGCTAGCCCACCGGTTCTGTCAGATGAAGCTTTAATAGTCTCTGGACTGAAAGCAAAAACATCAGTTAATACAAGATACAAGATACACTGTAATTTTTTTAGGATTATTAATCCGACAATTAATCAGTAACAAAAGACATATTTATTTCTATATTCTACATTATTCTATAATTTCATAGATATGAGTCATTAATTTTCATTTGTCGATTTAGGCTACGTTTTGAGTTTGCTCTTTTCTTTTAAGACTCGGTGATGAAACGTCATCGACTAACTTCGTACAGTTTGTTTCGTTGGTTTATTTTAAAAGCATTAATATTTCACCACGACGCGAGTGGAAATTTAACTGTTTGAAAACCGTTTCAACGTTATGGCTTCCACACGAATTACGACAGAATTTTGCGCGCTAGAAAACCTATTCCGGTCAATGGATTACCTCCACCCACCCTTGTCGGTGCCGCTACCTGGATACAACCCTCTAAAAACTTGCGGGCGTATATTTAAATCGGCCATGGAAACGACAACCCGAATGGCGTAGTGAGTAGTGTACTTGCTTCATGCGCCAGAGGGTGTGGTTTCGATCCCCACCCACTACTGGAAAAATATTGTGTGATGAACATAGTGTTTTTCTAGTGTCTGGGTGTTTATATATGTATAATTTGTATTTATTTACAAAAAAAAAGTATGTTTAAGTATGTTTATCAGTTATCCAGTACCCATAGTACAAGCGTTGCTTAGTTCGGGACTAGAATATGTTGTGCAAAAATGTGTCCTAAAATATTAAACTGCAAAGCTTCCGTAAGAATATACAGAAGTTACAAATTAAAAGGTGCGCGATCCAAATAACAGATAACATATAATACTTTACAACCGACTTCAAAAACGGAGGAGTTTCCCAATTCGACTGTATTGTTTTTTATGTTCGTTACCTCAGAACTTCCGGCCGAGGGAACTGATTTTGATGATTCCTTTTTTAGAAATTTAAATTGTTTATAGTGCTAATCTTTGCACTTAAGATGTGTATGCTGGATAGGATATAACAATAGATGGCGCCAAGCATTGCTTCAAATGCTAAGAAAATAATGTGGAAGAATGCGTTAAGATTTTCGTCGGTGTGGCAATCAGCCGTTTAGCTCAGTGGCTAGAGCGTCAGGCCGCGAATGCCGAAGACGTGGGTTCGATTCCCACAGCGGCGACAATCTTTTCGCACTTTTTCTACATATTTTAATTTTCTACATATTTTAATTAAGATTCCTTTTTTATTTCAAAGCTGCTGCTTCCCATGAGGTCCTGTATTAATTTCATTGGTATTGGAACCTGGGCTCCGGAGATACGTAGGGAACTCCTGAAAATCAATTATATAATTAATACAGGGCAAGATATTTGAAGTCGGTTTTCGTTTTTCGTTACTAAAAAATTGACTTGAAGGCGGTAGTGTCTTAGAATTCCACGTACAATTTCACATGTTCTTTAAAGTGAACTCTGTTGGCTTTCATTCTAAACCGAAATCTGTAAAGTTAAATAATTTATCTTTACATTTTGATTTAACTGAACACGTTTCGATGGCAACACCGGGAGCGGGGTAGCAACAGTGATCCCTAAGTTAATACTTAATCATAAAAACTTAATTTTGGAAGATAATTGAGCAAAAATCTTCCGCACTGCACATCTTGGACGACCCGAATGGCGGAGTGGATCACCAATAAAGGAAAAATATTGTGTGATCAACATATTGATGTTCCAGTGTCTGGGTGCTCATATGTGTATAATATGTAATTATATACAAGTATGTTCAAGTATGTTTATCAGTTATCTAGTAACCATAGTACAAGCGTTGCTTAGTTTGGGATTAGAGAACGTTGTGTAAAAATGTGTCCTAAATATGAATTTATTTATTATTATAATTTTTTTGCGGCACGATTCGAACCTGTGTGTTTCTGGTAAGGCGCCAAGACGCTTTACCAACTAAGCTATGCTTGGCGCAATAAGAAATGTAATAAAGAATGTAGGTAGACGTCAAGATTTTCCATGAGTCCATTGACCGCTATAACCGTAAAATTAAAACTTTATCGTCTGAAATACTAACCTTAATATAATGCAAGCCAAGAGACAGTGCCCTGGCACTAAGGAGCGTGGGTGCCTAGCCTTCCCCGGTCAGGGCAATCATCTACTTAACTTGACATTTCCGAGGCGAGACGTGTTAGCCGATTACCTCCAGCCTAATGCAATAATGGGACGGCGATAAATCAGCAAAGAGAGTCACAAATGCACGTAGTTGATTATACCTCTTTATCCATTTGTCACGACGCAGTACGACTTGAGGACCCAATTAGAGTAGCGGATAGTGGACCTGTCTCTTACGCCAGAGGGTATACGAATTTGATTCCAACTAGTGGAAAGAAATTGTGGGTAACACAGTGTTTTTCTAGTGCCAGGGTGTTTGTATATTCATAATAAGAATTTATTTATATAAGAAAAGAATCTTTAAGTATGTTTATCAGGTACCTAGCACCATAGAAGTTTAGTTAGGGACTAATGTTGTTTAAAATTTTAATACTTTATTTATTTAAATATGGAAAAGCGTATACTCCTTCCAAAGCCTGCGAACTGGTAAAAGCGGTGGTTGGAGTAATACCCGAAAAGATCATACATACATCTTTCAAACGGGTGGACTTATATAGCCTATGCCCTTTTCACCTAGGTAGTGGAGTAAAGTATAGCCTATACGTGTCCCACTGCTAGGCAAAGGCCTCCTCTGTACAGAGAGTATCAGGGCATAGTCCACCACGCGGCCTCACTGCCGATTGGCGGACAAGGTAGTGAAATCACGCAATTCAAAAGCCGTCGAATCGGACGCAAAAACGGATAACAAACTGATCCAACTTATTAAGTACCTATGCATTTTAAACGGACCACCAATACGGTCAAATTAGGGGAACGGGCGATCGAGACGTCTAATATTCGACCGTGCGAAAGTTTGTTTAATTGCGCGGACTACTGTTAGCCAAATTGAACAGCGTCGGGTAACCGTTATGTGTGTTTGGGCGAGATATTTGCGCGGCTTTCGCGCGGTGACGAGGCAACGAATTTGACACACTCATTATGAACGTAATCGCCTGTGGTTTTGTCACAAATGTCGCCAACCACCGACAGAACCGCGTTTACCGGACGACACGTATATACACTATTTTTCTAGCCGGTCTTCTGCGTGACTTTGTTACATTCCCGGTTCAGCTGGCCTGTGCTTGATTTGGGTCGTTTCGCCAAATTGATAAAAGCGACGCATGAAAGCCGCTACAGTGCGAACACACAGATTTATCGGCATAATTGCTAATGAGCGGGCGTTTCACCTAATGTTAAGTGATCATCGCCGCCCATAGTCATTTACAACACCTTACGGGTTGCACATGTTGCCAACCATTTAAAAAGTGGGCTCCGGTTATCTCTACTACTAACATTACCAGACCAAATGCAAAAATATAATACTTCCAATTCACTCCGTTCTGATAACTAATCTACGCGCACTTAATAAATTAAATCCCTCTTCGTTGGGGTGCTAAGCAGATTTCAGCAGAGCGGGACTCTGTACAATTTAGGTTGATGACGTCAGCGCAAACGGAGCCAACCTCACCTCGCTCCAAATTAGCCGCTAAATGATTCAGAATCACGAAAACTGTTAAACTGCGGTGCGCTACCGTTGATATTAATGCCGGCATTAATATGAATCCAAATTAACTTTGAACATGTTTAGATTAGTGCGTGAATTCCGCAGCACTCCCAGAATAAAGTTTTTGCATATAGAATGTAACTAATTAAAGCAATATTAATGAAGTCAGTAGTGACTTGGTGGCTGGGAAGTCTGTTTCAGAAACTTTATGGTACCGGTTGATTCACAGTGGCTTGCAATAATCTAATTCTTTAACGCTCAGTGTCTGGGCGCTCGCCTTTAATTTAATATAGGTACTCGAGCAACCTGAGTTCGATCTCCGGAACCACCACCAATGCAATCTCAATTTAAGTCAATTTTAAGTGCTGAATTATCACGTGCTCAGCGGTGAAGGAAAACATCGTGAGGAAACTTGCATGTCTTCGAAATAATAACAAAAACAATATTACGAAGATATGTTAAGTCCGCCAATCCGCAGTGTGGCCGCGTGGTGGACTAAGCCCTGATACCCTCTGTACAGAGGAGGCCTTTGCCGATCAGGGGGACATGCATAGGCTGATACTTTACTTTTTACTTTTTTACTTTAACGATATGATCGTGATCTATATTACTATATTTATGTGGCCATCCCAGTCCCATGCGGCCAGTGGCGTACGTGCTGGCGGCACACCTGTGGAGATTCTACATTTACTTCCACGGTTAAATGTAATAAAAGTCGACCGTGAATATGGTTTTAGTCGATCGCTGGTGATGTTTGAAAATGGAAAAGGACCGGATAATTCGAATTCACATAAAGTATGGATATAATTTTCTTCCGATAAAAATTCGACGATAATCACAAAGACAAAGAGTTGGACAAGTGACCGTTCGTCCGGAGCACTTTTGTGATGGACGCGCGAGTTGGCGTGACCTTTACTTGATACGGACGTGGGCACGGCGCTGTCATGGCCGGGGTGGCGAGTTCGAACGCCGGGGGCCAACGGCGGTCCGGACCTGGAGGTCTCACGTTGGCGGGACAACAATGGACCTTGCGTCCGCAACCAGGAGCGGAGCGTAGGCCGCACGGGAGATATTTGCATCGTATTCTCACAAAGAGCGAGGAGCGAAGATGGAGGCCTCACAGAAGACCGGCTAAAGTGAAAGTATAATACTTTCGCGTTTCGTCTTGTGATTGAGGTGGCCGGAGCCCAATTCCCAAAAAGGTTGTCAACGCATCTACAAATCTTCGGGTATAGCAGATGTCCATGGGCGGCGGTATTCACTTAACATCAGGTGAACCGTCTGCTCGCTTGGCAACTTTTCACATTTAAAAAAAAAGCGAAGATGGAAGTAAACATTTAATTTTTTAGGTCTTAAAAGTTGGCCAGCGAGCAGATGAATACCTACGCCCAGCGCTGTTTGTGTGCGTTGCCAACCTTTAAAAACAGCGGGCACCGGGTACCTTACTCACACAAGCAAAAGTTCTACTTCACCCTGGTCTTTTGTGAGTATCAGCTGATACTAGCCGTATCTTCGAGTTTTCAAAAGGCTTCAAAACGATTTACTTCGGATATAAAATCAAGACGGTGCATACTGAACGGTGGAACAATGGAAAAGAGAAATTCAACATGTCTGTAGGATTCTCTCCCAACGTGGGTTACAAATGGACTCTTCTCTTCTCTTCTTAGTCGTTCCTTCACTGATGAGGATCGTGACTCATAAAAAATACAAATTGACGCCCGTCTGCGAAAAAGACCCTTTTGTTACTTCATTACTTCCACTGGTTATTTAAACCTGAAACTTATCGATTCCTCGTTTTACTTTGGTGACATAATGACACTGGAGAAGAGAAAACATTATCTGAGTGGTCGCCTTTTAATGACGATTCTGCGCAGAAACAACACAGTCATGTTAAAGGTATAGCCGGGTAATTTTTTTAATGTAACCCGGGGTAGCAAGTATCATAAGGGGGTGACTCGGATAATAACGTACATATACCTACATCGGTAACCGGGTCAGCGGTCATCGCGTATTAGAGTCACGATTGACACGTGAACGTAACGCAACTGCGGTTAAAGTTAACCTATTCGAATAACGCGAAGAGAACTCGTTAGCTTGTTAAAAGTTGACATCGTGAAATTTGCAGAGCCGTACTAAAACGCTGAAATATGTTTGCCGAGTTTAATGTTTGCCGGTGCCGTTAGGGCAGTGACACAGTAAATGTTTACAAGTGATTTGTGATTTTTGGTGTAACATGTAGGTAATTTAACCTCGTGTGTTCTTAAGAATTTTTTGAAAAAACAACGAAAAGCTTTCCGAGCCCAGACGCTTTAACCACCAAGCTAAACAGTTGATTGGCACACCAGTCGTAAAAATTTTATCGTCGAAAAGATTATATCAAGAAATAAATCATCATCTTTTAATGAATAGACACAAAGCATATCAATGCTTTAAAGTGTTGCTAACAAAAAAGTGTAAATTCATTAAAAGATTTCTCTTGTTATAGTGGTTACCGGTCTGTAATTATAGATAAAAGAATTAAACCATAAAATTAATATGTTTATTGTATATTTCAAATAAATATATTTAGAGATCGATCGCAGATATTAGTCCACCGTTTTAACAGCTTAAAAACCACCGATTTGAACAAAAACAAAATTATTACAAAGATATACAATAATTATCCCAGATTGCCATTATACTATTCCAATACACTATACTTTAAGCATATTACATTATACTGGACATTTTAATTATAATATACAGCAACCGTACCGCGTCTCAAGCGACTTTATCGAATATAAGAGGCGTAAATCAAACCGCACTACACTAAGGGAGGTAGCACTTACAAGCGTGCGGGTAGCTAGTTCGAAACTCCGCAATGGGAGGGGGGTATTCTGAACAGTATCAGGTGAGTGCGAACGCTGTTATAAAACGGGTGGAAGGGAGGGAGGGGGCTCTACAGTAACCGGTACAGTCGGGGCCGCATGATATCTCGAACATTAATACGGTGATATATTTGGATTTATAATCTAAAGGTCCCGCAAGACTTATGGTAGAGAAATCCAATTTATATTCAATGATCGATCGTTATCAACGGTTGTACGGCAAAAGTTAAACCAGTCGGATATACCGATTTTACTTATGTCTTGTTTTACATTTCCAACGTAATGTATTTATTTACTCTGTTATCGAGATTTCGATTTAAAGAAGACACTTTCATTTCAATGAATTATAGCCCGAGTTACTAATAGATGATGCTGTTTTACATCCGCAACTTATACATTAAAAATTAAGATAAAAGTAATAAAAGTAATTTTGTAAATAAAATATATATTGAATGTATAGCTTCGGGGTCGTGGGTTCGATTCCCACACGGGAAAAGATTGTGTGACCCACAGATAATTATTTGGGATCTGAGTTTTCGCCCAAGTGAAAAGTAAAATACATTAAGTATACACGTATAAAACGTCCTTACAAGACAGGGTAGTGTTATCCCGCAGTAAGGACAATGATTTTACGAAAAAAAGATTGTTTGGCAAATATGCCACCGAGCCAACGAAAGATTTTAAATAGAGACGATACTACGCTTGCACACGACTGTACCTCGACCGAGGATGTATGCTAGACAAGACTAGACCACGTAGCAAAACCACCCCATTGCGCTCTACTTGTAGCTGGCGTCCATTGTCACCGATCTTTTATCCACGGAGTATAATGCGTTTTAAAGAATCCACGTCATATTTTTTTTTATATCGGAAAACACCGTTAATATTTCACCGGATTTTCCAGTTTATGGTTTATCCAAAAACATTGGTTCCAACAACACTTTTCTCCTTTTTATTCCTATGAACATTAAAACTTTCCTCCTATGAAAATCTACCCTCGAATCATTTTACAAAAACGAATTAACCAAGGACGAACGTCCAGGTACGGTAAAGCGATCTGTAGGTCATACAACCACTCATCCTGACTGGGAATGGAATCCCCAACCGCTACCCCGATCGCGCAGTATCTTTATTTTTTTTTTCATTTTTTTAAAAAAACATTGCCATTACTTTAGGATAATATTATCCTGTGTTGTAATGACGTTTTACAAACATAAATTTCACGCAGACAAACACCCAGATACGAAACAACTATCTGTGGGTCACACAAATAGTTGTCCCGTGTGGGAATCGAACCCACGACCCCTGACGCCGAAGCCAATACCTTGGCAACTGCGCCACGGAGTCATCAAATCGTTGAACTACTATCGTTTAACTACTGCACCTACCTAGTCAGACAGATGCCTTTACATCTCTTTCTCCGTGGGTACACTGTGGTGAGAGGACTGTGCATGTATTTGTGGTAGGACCACGCAACTCCTCGCTGTTGCACGAATGGGCAGGTCCGTTCGGGTAAGTACCACGACTGCACAGAAGACCGGCGTGAAGTGCAAGTGTTACACTTCTGCGCTTCGTCTGCTGAGTGAGGTCGCCGGGGCTCACTTTGTTAAAAGAAGGCAACGCATCTGCAAACCTACGGGCTTTGCAAATATCCATTGGCGGTTATCACTTAAGATCAAGTGAACCGATAGTCCTTCACGAGGCATTCGTGCGAAATCAGAAGCTGAAGTGCATCCGCGACAGCGACATCATTCCATTACCCGTCTCCCTCTAACTAGCGGAGCACAATATGAAATTAGCGCTCATTCAGAGTTCCGTCACTGTCCGTCGGCCGATCGACGGCTAACGGGACCCCAAAGAGCTCTGCCTTTTTTTCCCTTCTTCACATTGTCCATTGTCCGCACGGGCGACTAACCGCAGCTCTTAACTACAAGTCACCGTACAGCACAAAGGCGAACGGAAAAGGAACACGTGTAAACCTCTTTGTTGTACCGCAGCGCTGGCAGGCAATGTTGGATACTTTTTACCCAAACGGTAGAACATCTTATTACTAAGACTCCGCTGTCTGTCTGTCCGTCTGTCACCCGACTGTATCTCATGAACCGTCACAGAAAGACAGGTGAAATTTTCACGGATGATGTATTTCTGTACCTCTATAGATTTTATCGATAATGGTACGGAATCCGTCGGGCGCGAGGCCGACTCCCACTTGACCGGTTTTTTTTAAATCTGGTACGCTTTTCGTAGTTCAAAAAATATTTTTTTAAAAACGTTCCATTCTCATTTAGGTCCTTCGTTGTCCATTTAGGAACTTTGTTGTCAGTGTAAAATAAGATTAAAAAATATAAATTGAATTTTTTCCATATCGAAACGGAACATTTACGTATCACGCGTCACATAAATGTTCAGGTCACGTCGTCCACGCAAAAACCATTCTAGTTAGCTCTATTTAAAACTCGGCATCTATTTCCGAGTCACAGAGACGCGACGTAGTAAAGATCACCTTGAAAATAAGATACTCTTCGCCGTACGCTCAACTGGATACTGTTACTCGACTAACAGGTCCGCGTGGGCGCGCCAGGTTCGACTCCCGAGTACATAAATAACACAAATAAGATGTACATAATAAATAACAATATGAAATACAAAAAACCAATGTTAAATTAGGCTGATTTTGAGAATTTGGCACACCGACGAAATTTTTGCACACCGCGCTTGGCGGTTAAAGCGTGGGCTCGAATCCTGGAGACGTGGGCTCGATTCCCGCAAAGGCGAAAAACTTATCGTCCATTTTTAGGGTTCCGTACCGAAAGGGTAAAACTGAACCCTATTACTACTGCGCTGTTTGTCTGTCTGTCTATCCGCCTGTCACCAAGCTGTAAGATGTCCGAGCAATCTATAACATCGGAGCCCGGAGTTCGCTCAGAGATATTTTTAAAGAGATTAGTATACTCACTGTTGCTTCTCAATACATTTATTGTAATGTTTTGTATATTCGTCATAACCTTAATTTTTACCTAAAGAATAGTGACAGACATAAATTAAACACTACAAATAAGGACAAACTTACTACGCCATTCGTGCGCGAGTCCGACTCGCACTTGGCCGGTTTTTTATACAAATTTTTACACTATATTGTTTGGCGCATACAAATTCATACTATCGCACTTTCTCTTCTTATTTATGGAGCAATGTTCAGCCATCGGGAATAG